AGCTTTCGTAGTGTTGTCCCGTCCACACTATCAAATGCTTTCTCGTTGTCTATGAAGTTGACGTAGAGTGATGAATTCCATACAATTGATTGTTCCACAATAATCCGTAGTGTTGCGATTTGGTCTGTACACTATCTATTCTTACAGAATCTTGCCTGTTGGTCTCGAAGTTGGGCGTCTACGGAGCCCTTCATTCTGTTTAGCAATGCCCTGTTGAAGACTTCCTGGTATTACGAGAAGAGTGACAACCCTGTAAGTATCAAAATTGCTGAGATCGCCTTTCTTTGGTATTTTGATCAGGTGTCCTTCTTTCCAGTCTACTGGAACTTGTTCTTCATCCTTAATTTTGCTGAAGAGAGTGTGGAGCATCCTTGCAGTTGCCGCTACGTCTGCTTTCAGTGCCTTTGCTGGAATGTTGTCTTATCCTGCTGTTTTACCGACAATGATTCGTCTGACAGTCACGTTGGTCTCCTTAATTGTTGGTGGACCAACATCGACTGGGAGGTCCCTGGTTGCTGCTTCGACAATGGGTATGGTCAAAGCAGCTGGTGGAATCAAGGATTCTTAAAGGCGATTTCACTACTGGCTTTGCTGGACTCACTGTTGCAGATTAAATTGATTTCATTCGTTTTCACTGGCGAATCTGGTTTAAGATAATTTCCGTGGAGTTTCATTGTTATGTCATGCAGTTGTCTCATGTTTTCTTCTCGTGCAGCTTCTTCCGCCGTCGTTGCTAAATCTCCAACATATTTATGTTTGTCGGTTCTGATACTCTTTTTTACTCTTTCGTTTAATTATGTGTATTCAGATTGTGCTTAGGCTTTCTCTACTCTTGTTCGGCTGGTATTGACCATTGACTTCGTGTTCCCTCTTATTTCGAATCTTATTCAGTGTATCAACGGTGATCCATTCTTTGCAACGGTGCTTTTTGTGACCCAGAACCTCATGATATGTTGAAGTGATTGCTTCTTTTATCCCTTTTCAGTTGCTCTCCATAGTAGTTTACTTTCCGTATAGTAGATCATGAAATACCTAGAGTCTATTGCTGAGGACTATCCTGAAATTGTTGGGTTTGTCGGTATTCCGAGCAGTTGATTATCTGATTATATATCAGCTCCTCTCATGGTTCTCACATCTTGCATCGTCCTCCCGAACGTTTTTTCATGCAGTTATGACCGGTCGTGTCCTGCGTAGTGTGATGCTCTGAAGTTCATATGCTGTGCACGCGTTTAGGTGGGAATATACTGCCGCCTATGACCAGTTTATTGAAGGCACATATAATAATAATAACATATGTTTGTAAATGTTTCACCATTATACTTCCTTTCTCCCTGTCCGTGTCATCACATGATGGCTTCATATCCAGTGTTGTCCATTACAATTTTGGCGTTTAAATGTCCCATCAGGATGTTCAGGTCCTTTGTTTGGCCCTTCTCAACGATTGACTGCAGCCTATTGTAGAATCGATCTTTAACGTTTTAATTGTAGTCGTTGTTAGACGCATAGCATTAGATGACATTCATTGAAATACTCTTTCTTTGTTTTAAAGGAGGCTTTGTTGGGTCTTCATACATAAAATTCCTATCCTGTAATTGCATTTTGTGCTTGTTTGAACAGCTTCAATGCAACTCCTTGTGTATGCGGAGCATTTTCTTCATCATGGCCGGAGTATAGCAGAAGCTCCCCTGAAGCTAGTCGTTGTTGTCCAACTTGCGTATAATGTGTTTCACTGATCCCAAGCACTTCCAGGTTGTATCTCCTCATTTCTGCAGTAATTTGGTAGGCTCTTCTAGTCTCCCACATTGTACGAACATTCTATGTACCTAAATAAATGGTTGCTCTGTTTGTCGGCCTCGTGACTTCCGAAGGAATTCGGCTTTCACCATGAGGCGTAATAACTCTTTCAAATGAAGACCCTCTGATTCACTTGGCAGATTTTAAATGGTTTGAATACTTTTTTCTGGTTAGCGTTCTTTTAGTGAGTTAGTTTACTGTCTCATTTTATCCTGGCTTGGAACGAGCCCCAGAGGGGATCAAAGCGAAGCTAGACATTTATGTAGCTCCGCACAAAGCCCTATATGTTAGATAGTCACATCATGAAAAATCCCCTCTTATAGAATAGGTCTGTTATTATTTTGACAAAGTCTACTGTACTACTATCGGATTAAACCACAATTTGACACCCTCAACATCTCTTAGATGCCTTATATCTGACAGTAGTATCGAATTAGATGCTGCTAACAGGATTGTTTGGAAATAGTACTTTAAGGAAATTGACGTCGCAATCGAAACCGTTTTCAGACGGAGAGAGAGGTTTTAGTACAGAAAAAGCACAGTGTTGACAGAAACAGTCGAGCAGACGGTCAAGATGGCAGAACACACCGAAAGATACAAATATGTGATGAAAAGTTGTGTATATGTATCTTGAAAACGCATTGTAACTTCTCACAATGAACGATGATTTTTCTTGCCTATGGACTTCATTTTGTCACTTCTCAAAGAGAGACTCGGACGCCATCATGGTTAGAATACTTATGGAGACCAAAACCGGTAAAAAAACAATGACTCAACGAACCGTTTTTTCTACAGCCACAACAAATCGTTCACCGGTACAACATAATCACGATATCAATAAAAGCTGCCTAAACAGCTACAATAAAAATAAGTCTCTAATACTCACATAAGACATTCTCACCGACTTTGAAATCCAAAGGCCAAATGTATATACCACACGATACACCCATAAACAAGGTCACAACATCGAGATACTGGCATCAGAAAGTAGAATTTTGGGACCAGGAATTCAATACCTAAGACCACTTGACACTCCGATCAAAAAGGATCAGTGACGCCTTTTCAGTATTGCTGAAAACGAGGTCTGCCACGTGCAGAAGTAGTGGTAGGCACAAATATATAGTCTAACATCTGAGCTCCACAGTGTATAGTAACACGCTGGTCAGCTCGCCACTTCTCACTCCACACGATCGTAAATATGGAAATCTAGCAGACCATTTAGTGGATTTTTGTTGTTGAAGATTTTTCATTGCAAAACGTTGCTATAGGCCTACTGAAACACAGTAGTCTCCTCATCGACTTGAGTAAATTGAGGTTAGTGGACGGAAATAGTGTATTTCTGGGACTTCATCTTCTAGTTTTAGGTTATGCCCAGGCACGATTAAACATATTATCTGTTCATAATGCAAAAAGATTCTCAAAAAGTACGTCAAACTCTACCGTACACGACTGAAAATACCACGCGTAACTGACAACCTTGCACGCCACATTACGACAGGACCATCTTCTCCCTTCGAAAGCGCAACAACCAATTCTACAATAGCCAATAATTCGCATTAGAGAATTTGAACGTACTATAGAAGTGTGAAATATCTACTTATAAAGCACAACAGTGGCATCTCCTTTGCACACAGTCTCTAATAAGCATAGTAACGACATCCAACTGGTGGATTTTGGGGTAGGTCAAGTAAGGATTGTCTGGAAAGTGAGATTAAATTTTGTTATAACACAAAATGTTTTCAATGCTGGAAGAATGCTTTAATTCACTATCAAAATGCAAATTCTGAGCCATTGCAAGCAGCACAATGAAGAAAGGGAACTAACCAGTATGGCAGCTACTGGCTAAAACAACAGAGATGTGCTTTAGTATAAACATGGAAATTCAGTGATATCAGCAAAAAACAAAAGTAAAATACCAATCGTATAATTTAAAATGGAATCAAAACTTCAACAGAATTTACATCTGAGAGAATCAAGGGAAATGAATCACAATAGCGTTTATGTGGAAGGATTATCATATACAAAACTTTCAAAAGGATTTTACACCTTGACTTGATTACAGTCACGCACTTAGGCGTAGTTAACGGCCATAAACATCTCATCTTTTCTCTAAGTTCGTCTTCTTGCGTGTACTCTTATCCACATTCTCATTAACTGCAATACATTTCACAGTTTACTTAACATTTACAACACATTACACATATTACAACACAGTCTTCAAGAAAAAGACTTTCCTAAACTTGTCCAGCTTCAAATAGGAAACTGATCCTCAACACTAGTAATCTTCTACAACCGCAAATCGACTAATCAAACAGATACAAACAGGTGAGAAGACTTGACTTCGTGAAACATCTACAGGTAGGGATCGTCCAGTCGTGCCGACATACTGTCGACGCAGAGTCTTCAACACGTTGAACAAACGTTCTCGTCAAGGTGCTTAATAAACCACACAGCTCACATCAGAACGATTTTATTGGCCTGTTATGAGTAAACAACGTGAAGGAGGGAGCACGCATCTATGTAGGCTGCCGGAAATCTAGAGCGATTGGGCCAAAAAGTGTCCCTTGGGGTCATTCTCAAATCCTGATGCTTGTCTCGGCTACTTCCATCTTAATTAGATGTAACCATTACCAGATTCATATGGATAATTTGGTATCTCAGCATATGTGGACAATTTCATACGATGGTCAGAAGTAAGACCTATTAAAGATATTACTGCTCAAGCAGTGACTCGCATCTTCGTCGAACGACAGGTACCAAACTTCGTCCACCCCTCAATTATCACTACACACCGTGAACGCCTGTTTGAACCCGTATTCTTCTGTTGTTTGACCGCACTACTAGGAATCGCACGACTCCGAACGACCACGTACCACCCACAACCTAACTAGTGGTGGAACGATTTCACTGACATTTGAAGTTCTTTTTGTGCCTGCAGGTAACTCACATTCTATCGATAGACGAAACCAGACTAGTGGTGAATAGGTCTTTATTTAACTCGTAAGACAGCACACACTGGAGTGAAAATTTACCTATTCAAACACACAACATTCTATATAAGATAATAAGAATTATAATACTTATACAAAATAAAGAAGTGAATGAACACTTGAGCTCCACTGTTTTGACATATACGTGGTCGTTTGAGGTCAAGTTTCAACTAATAAATCTATGTTGTCACAGCTTTACACCCAGTCGCGAACATTCTACATTGAATTGACACCTTTATTCGTGTTACCTGATATCATTAGAAATAACAGTAATAAGCATAATAATAATGTTATTACTATTATTATTATTATTATTACAATGGTTATGATGAACAGCATGACGATGAGTGATAGATTAACAAATGGTTGTTGGTAGTAATGATAATACATCAGAATTATTTCCAATTGTTCTATAATCATCGTCATCATCATCGCCTTCTCCTTCTTCTCCTTAACATATGAGACTGTAATTATCTTCAATCAACAGAAAAAAGTTACAAGATGGAATATTTACATGCAAATTTAAGGAATGAGATGATCATCATTGGTGCTACAGATACGCGTGCCGCTCCCATTATCTAGCTGAGAACACGCTGAAAGCATGCACCTTGTTGAGGGTCATAAGAATGTGACTGGTGATGACGGATAGACTCATAGATCAAGGAGCACGACGAAGTGGCTCAACGGACAACTGTTTGACACAAGTCACATTTCACTGCTTGAGTAGTGGCTGGTGTGTTAACTCTATTCTCTGAAGCATTACCATGGCAACGCATATCTGTGTGGCAAGGTGGCGTGTGCCAGCTATCTTCAGAGTCAACCTGCTCCTAGTCATAACACTGTACAAATTACCTGCCTCGAACGTGAACAGACGTGAACAAATAAGTGTTTCAATCTTTGTAACTCAATTGCATCATCACAAAAGATAAAATTGACTACCATCCCAGTGTTGTAGCCATAAACGCAAAAATATGAAGCGAGCTTCATCGGTCAACTAACAGTTTATATGTAAATGATAAAGTTAACAACACAGTACAGAATCATCGGAAAAAGAGTACTCGAGAGAACGTCGAACTGTCATTAAACGACACATCTCACATTTCGTTTTTACAATAATTTATTCTAAACTTGTAGGTCATCCAGTAAAACTCTAGAAATGTTGTCATAAATCATTCTACGCACTCATTCATAAAATATATCACTTCACTCGGAATATAGTTTTAGCAATGTAACCAGATGGGATCACATCAGACACGTAATTGAACAGTCGATTTTGAGTGGCTTTTACTTATTCGAGCTGAGGAGGTTAATCAATAGCCACCAGAAATCAGTGTCCGCATATTTCAATTGTGACTATCAATAGAATTCAAGAAATTTATCTCGTCTTGTTTGGCACTTGTCAATGAATAAAACAAACTGTCATCAGACGAAGTCTGATCAATCAATGAAAGCGTCTTACTGAGATTAGTCAAAACCGTATTCGTTGGCTTAGGCCAGAATTCACTTATTCATACTGAAAAGAAATAATGTAAGGTCAGGCAACTCAGTCAGTAAGGAAAATATTGGTTTCGGGTATTATGATATGTATAACTTCTCCAGAAAATTACATTTGACATTCAGAATTATCACTTAGCCTTAGTCAATAGGTTCATCAGTTCAAATATGCGTACTTTATCAACACAGTAATGAAAAATCGACGAGTCGAAGGCCAATCATATAAATAACAGTGAACAAAAGGGAATGTTGTTCCAACTAAAGGAATGGATTCGAAGGAAGAGAACAAAGTAATAGTGAAGCTGAATTGAGGATTGAGTGCACATAATATACAGTATCCGGTTCTGAGTCACTTCATTCAGCGGAACGCAACTGGCTTGTTTGCATTTAATTAAAACGTATCAGGTTAACACTGAATGTATTCATGAATGACTACCATATATTAGTATGGTGGCCTGTAGCTTCTCCTCACCTTTCCCGTAATTTGGTCATCATCGAACGGCAAGGTAGTGGTTGGTGTTGCATTCATTGCCCATGTTCAAACCACCTCGGTTAATGAAGATCCGCTGCTCTATTCACCAGTCTACCATCTTTGCATAATACTCTGCGCATAACCTCACGGTTGCTCACTCCATCGTCCCAAAATACTCAAATAATTAACCAAGTTATGCAGTCTATTATACCTATCTATATTTAAAATCACAGACCGCAATCATAAATAAAAACAGAGCAAACTGCTGTGCAGTATACCCACTCTTCGTCTAGAAGACGCAAATTTTGTTTACAATAAATGCAAAGTTGACTTAATGAGGCTAACTAAGTGAGTATCTCAATACAGGCCGACATTTTTCCAGCCATCAGGATAAATATAGGTTTCATGATTAGTGAATCGGTCAATGACGCCTATCTTTTTTCTCAGTAATTCATCACGTATAATCTCACATACCTCCTTCTCACTTACAATTTATCTGTTACAGCCAGTGATGCCACCGAAGAACTCACACTAAAGTATATGAAACGAGATTTGAATATTTAACCCGATCATTCTAATGGCAATATCGGTCATCAAGTTTGACAGCAAAAAACGGAGAACAGTAGCAGCATTGCTTACCTATAAAATGAGATGATACAATTGACAATGGATGTATATATTTTTTCACCAAATTATAGCCTTTCAGTGTACACGCACATGAAGCACTGAGTGGATATATTAGAGATTGTGCAATTCGGCACTCACAACTAATCACATTAAAACATTCAACTTGATCCAACATACCAGATGCTGGTTCACCAGACCATCCACCTAGTATATATATTTCATTATCAATAACGGTAGTGGATGAATTACTTCTACTTCGACTCATTTCTCCAATTATTTTCCATTTCTCTTCCTTCGGATCATATCGTTCAATGGATTTCAAGCGATAATTACCATTGTTTCCACCAATAGCATACAAGTAATCACCATGTTGAATAAGTGATACACCGCCTCTCGGTGAATTCATTCGATTTATTAAGGTCCATTGATCCGTCAACGGCTCATAATATTCCACTGAATCATGATAATATCGACCATCAAATCCACCAATCACATATATTTTCCCATGTAATTCTCCAGCTGACCCATCACTACGTATATGATTCATTGAAGATATAGTTTGCCATAAATTTTCATCCACGATATACCTTTCTGCAGAATCTAAACGACCTCCATATTCACCATTATGACCTCCGATTGCATAGATATATCCATTCGCATACGTAACACTGACGTAATAACGATTCTCATACATGCAGCTTGCTTCATACCTAAACATTTTAAGCGAGACTCTTACACAATCGAATTTATATTTTATACATTGGTGAATAAATATAAGTGGTTAGTAAACTTACTGTATGTAAAGTATGTAAATATTTGATCATCAAGTTTTCGATGTGCTTCTAATTACACATTTTAAGTGAATGTTTGCAGTTAAGAACAGTGACTGTTGGATTCTAGCTTACTGGTCCGGAGTAATGTTCACTTAGTTGGCATCAAGGTTCAGTGTTCAACTATTTATGGTATCATAAAGGATATTCAGTACTGAATGCTGCTGATCGCTTTGACCGATTAATGAACTCACCAATTATTTTTATCGACTTTCAATAACATAATATCATCTATGAGTGTTGTTGGAAACTTGAAACATGTAATATTATTCCCAGTATGTCTATCTGTAGTAACTTATATAATTTAGCATTTCACCGAGGTGGTTTTCTAAATTGCATATCTCTCGTAACAACAAGTTTTCAGAAGTTTCATCCAAATGCATATGTTGATATAAAGTGCCAGTTAGCTAAAGACATTTTGTTTATTCTCATTGGTCGTATTTTATAACAGTAAAGTATGTTAGTATTGCGTCTGAAGCAAAAGATACAAGTCTGGGATCCGTGAGTAAACAGAAAATCAAAGGTGCAGGTACACCAAGCTGACGAGTGCCAAATGGAGCTGCAAGTCTCTTTCCTCTTCTCCACACTTTACAATCTCAAACTAGTAATATACCAAACTATTTACGGATTACAAAAGTCTTTAATTATCATATAAGTGTCTCGATGAGTACAAAACTAAACACTATCAAATCTACTATCTGTTTAAACTCTAATGTTATTGTTTGAGCATTTCGCAAAACTAGATTCTGAGTTAAGATAATAATAATAATAATAATATCGATAATAAACGTTCAGTCGTACAGTGTGCAAATCATAAGACTTTTTCACCATGGAAACTACCGAATTAAACAAAACATGTCACTCAATGTGCATCACTCACCAACCAGATTCTATTTCGAAATCATAGCACAAAGTAGATTTGAGAGCACGATCTCCGTCAAACCCTCCAATTACATAAACTCGTGTTCCTATCAGTACACAACCGGCGTAAACACGTTTAGGGAACTCACCGATCAGATTAGCACGAGTTGTACTCATGATCGCATTGTTATCAACTGGAAATCCACTTCGATTACCATCACAGGCAATTTCATCTGGTGGTAGCAAGCTCTGAAAACTGTTGATCCGAATAAAAGTATCCACAGCGTTCTGTAACTGATTTGCTTGTGAATTAGTGATCGTGAAAGTGAGTGTATTTCGCAATAAATCACACTGTTGATTAGTTGGCACCAGGAATGGCTGACTATTCTCTGTCCATAATGTCCATGTTTTCGCCGTTGGGTTATAGACTTGCACTGCTGCCATTAGACCATCACTATCTCGCCATCCACCAAAAACCATCACGATCTAATAAAGGGAATATAGGTAGGAATATAAATGAGCATCAAAATGTTTCACTGTATCTAATTTCTCTAAATAAACTCATGAACTGTAGTTACAATTACTCTACCTTGCAAACATCAGAATTGGTCGGATTATAAGCTTCTAAAACACTCATTGTTTGTGACTACACACTTGTGGTATTTCGCCACTCATTATATAAAACACAAGTTGTCCGAATTCAGGCACACTTAACAATCTCATTGGTGTACTGTTTCTTGTTCCCGTGCCTTCAATTCGCTCGACCCACGTGGTTCGTATTTTCATGTGCGTGTGATTCTGACTAGGGATTATGATGGAGTATATTGATAGAACATGAACTCGTTCACTCCTACCGTTGAGTGTACAGGTGAACTAGTGTTATATGTAGTCCTCACATGTTTCCTAGACCTCACTTAAAAGTTACATTTTCTAAAACTTCACCATACTGCGTCGAAACGGTGGACAGTTCTCACAGGTTTCTCCTGGTTATCTATTTACCTTTGAATCCTATTTCAAGTTATCGTCATGTTGACGAATCTCCATAAACATTACTTCCTTTATTATTTGATAATGTGGGGGCCGGTATTATGTCAAGCCCACACACGTTTTTCTAGCCGCTGTCCAGATCAATTTATTGGTTCTTTCCAAGTCGATGATTATATGTCAGGATTGGCGACATGCATATTTCAGTAACAACTAGAAACGATCTAACTGGAGTCAGATATCGAGCAACTAATATGGCATTTAAAGGTCTACAAATGATCATCAATCATGTACATGCTGTTAACAGATTTTATAAGTTTAAATTAGTAATTGTAAATTATTCAGCAACCACTAAAAACTGGAAAGATGTGACAGATGTTTTGACCCGGTTCTAAACCAGAAAACAGTGCCCATTCGTCACCCCATCGATGATTAAACCGTGGTGGGTCAATCACCCTATGTGATGACAATCCCTATACTGGGGCAAACCGCCCTTCTGGTTTATTATAACTATTAACGTTATCCCACTAACGTCCCCTCGTGATAAGCATTAGGGAAATCGGGAATTTTCACATGTTAGTTGCACAATTAATAGTCCCCTTTGAATGACACTGGAATGATATTCATGGTAGGATCGTTTACATACTACTGATAAGGATATGATGAATTTAGAAAAAAGGTACTGTTTAGACTGTTTCAATGACATACAACAATTTTCTTCCACATACTCACTTGATGCGGTAATCTTGGCGTAATAAATCGTTGTCCATACGCATTGATAATACGATTATTAGTAGTTGCTAAACAAGTTGGCCATTGATTCAATAAATCTAAATATTCTGGAATAATTTGAATCAAATCATGCTTCTTTATATCATCTAATTCGATGGATGATAGCATTCCAAGTCGGACACATAACAATAACTCCAATGAATATTCTATACGTGTTTCCAAATCTTCAATAATCCATTGAATGACTGCTTGAAATACATTCTTTTCATGTTTGCAATTTAAAGCATCATCATGAAGAATTTGACGAATGTGGTTTGCACTTAGATTTTTGAATTGCGAAGTGTGCCATATTTTTTCGAAATTTTCTAAAATCGTTTGATATGCCATTGAACCTAGTTCAGGCCAATAGGATGATTTGTAATTTAACCACATGTCGATTGCAGTAGAAAAGTCAATAGTTGCAATCTCTTTTAATAGATTTGTGCATTGTTGTTTCAACTCCGGTAATAAAAGGAAATCCGCTGCTACGAATATGCGATAAACGTTGTCGTGATTAATCTCTGTACCGCCTTCACATATATATTCTATAATTGAAGAAAAGTCAACATTTAGAAACTCTGGCAGTCTTATATTTCCCTGTCCTCTGTGATATTTTAAAAGACGCTCAAAATAGATGCTTTGTTCAGCTATTTCCACAGCGATTATATTACATGTTTCACCAGATTCCATAAATTCTACAGTATGTTCGCAGAGAAAGTCTACATCACCACCTATCGACCGAAGATTTCTACTATGAATGCGTAAACTACGAACTGGTGTGTAAGAACATTGTCGTCTAGAGGCATTGAGCTTATATGAACCTGAACGCTTTCCATTTTTAAATCCTTTCTTATTGCATACTGGACGACCCATAACGCTAGATCAACAGTATAACACTTTGTATAAATGAAAATGTTTTCAATTCTGCAAAATCAATAAGATCAACCGATAATAGAATTTAAACGACTGATGTCATGTGAGGATCGATAAGTTTCAGTGAATTTGTTGTAATTGAACCATGTTTCTGAACAATGAGATAAGATGATTGAAAAGTGATAGAATTTGCAATACTCCTGGTTCATTTATAACTTGCAATAATTAGTGATTATTCCGCTCGATAATCGTAATGTTTCACATTATATATTTACAATATTATACTTTTAACATGTTTATGAAATGCACTCATAATTGAAATGAATGTTAGAATGCTACATTAGGATTTTCGTGAACTGTCTGTCCGCGTTAATCTTGATTGGTTTCTTTAACGATAATACATTCAAAGGTCAATAAATGAACAAAGAATATTCTTTTCTGTAACACATTGTACACACACTTTATGGAAGCAAATTCAAAAATCTCATGTGAGTAGTTTGTAACTGATTTATCCAGCTCTTTTTCAGGCATGCGGAAGACGAATAATTAGGTTAGAAATGATTCTGAACTATGTACAACTAAGCAAATCGCATTTACTACAAAGATGTTTTGAATCCTTTTATAACCGCTCTGTAACTATTTTCCACATTTTCATTAGTTTTACAAGTTAAAGAAACTGATATTTTAAGTCACTTACATAATAATTCCGTGTTCATCACAAATTAATAATGCAGTCAGTTTTGCAGATAAGCTGTTCAAACTATTTGTCAACCTATTTTAAAACCGAGCAACGATTTCAATAGTTTTTTCAACACTCAGATTGTTTAACAAGGTAGTGATGTATGCTAATGAAAAAATGTACTCATACGTTATCATTTGAAACAAGTAGCTGGCAACCTATTTTACTAAATATATGGTAGCGGGAAAGTGTAATTAGAATTGAGAAGACTACATTGTAGTATTTAATGTGATTCGAAAAGTGAGTGAATTGCATTATTCATTACAACAGATCTTCGGTGGATATGCTTGTGACAGTGAATTCCTACAATCAGTTAATTATCATAGGTAGATAGTGTGAATGTGAAAAATAATTAAAATTGGATGTAAGCATAAATCGTTTTTGTTGTCCGTGAAAAGAATGATGAGTAATTAGTAGAGCGGATGCAGCGAAAATGACATAAACATACCACTAAAGAGATTACATAGGATCAAAATTAGAAATTAAAGTGTCGACAAAATTGAAGTTTGGTAACTTTTTAAAGAAAGAAATCGAAAGGATAAGGAATATCTAGTAGTATCCAGATACCATGTCAGGGTAAGTTCAGAGACTATATGAACACGTTCTGAGTACAAACCTTTAGCTTATTGGTGTGTAATCATATGGATTCTGCTGCATGGAAGAGTCGAATTCTGAAATCGTGGGTTATATTCGGTTGAATTTCTTAAAAACTACAAACAGTGAAGTTGTCTCTCATTTGGTAACCAGTATTGACTAGATGTGTCTAGATAGGACTCCTTATCAATTTGTTTTGTCCTTTGCTCGAACTCGAGATTGTTGTTTAGAAATTCGATGGTGCGTTTTCTAGTTGTGTGCCAAATAAAAGTAAATCCACAAGACCAGTCGAAGTAGTGAATACATATAGGAGAATTGGAACAAGACAATTAATCCTCTTCAGTACTGGCATCGGTAGATAAGTAGACCCAATATAATACAGTTGATTGGGTATAACATGGCTACTTAAACGATATGATCTTACTTCGAAGTTATGTTGTTGTTCGTTTTGACTTCCGCTTTCGTGGTTATTATGAGTAGTTTGGCAAGAATCTTTGAAGTGCAAGCGCAATCTGATCAACGGAATATATTGAATGTGGGGACAAAAGAGTGACATATGGCGGCCTCTCATACATGAACAAACAATGTAATTTGCATTGTGTTCTTGCATCGACCTTAATTTACGTAAACGACTTTCTACGTACTAAAGAACATCCGTTGTAAATCTTGTTAGTCAGTGCATATTCAACTTGAAGGACCATGTAGCTGGAATTAAGTTTCGTTTCACCGTCATTATAAACAATTGCCAGCCACTTGGGTTGTAATTCAGATGGTTATTATTAGTAGTACTACTACTATTTATAACCTTATCAATATTTTATGTTTGGTACGGTGAAGAATCATCAGTATGAATTATATAACAATTTTCGTTTTTAAAATACAACAAAGCACGATAAATGCATACCTACATACACAATTAGACTTGATAAAATGTTTGGAGTTTAAAAAAATGTTTTCCAGTAAGATTAGAGTCTGTACAACCTCTGTTTAGAAACGTGTTTAAGAATACAAGTTGTTGAGCGGATCATTTCCAACAAATAGCTTGATACATAGTATATTTGCTAGATAAGGTATTGTAGAGCACTTATATGTTTGCTTGTGTGCATGAACCCAGGTAGTTGTGAGGTATCTAACTCTGTCTGAGGACTCCTGCCTATATCTGGTGTTATGTAATACTTTCGGTACAATTGATAAACGCACATTACAAACACATATGAAGCAATAAGGTAGTGAATGTGCTCCTTCGCCTCGTCAACAATACTATTCTCAACAATCAAGTGTTGATAAACGATGGCGATGATAGTTTTTAGCTGGACTTTTCATTGTTTTAATCGACCTAAATTTCTTGTTACTTATCTAAATATGCATATATATGTTTGCCATTTTTTCATGCTATATGCATGTGTGTGTCTGTTTCTATATAGACCGTGATGTACATACTGCTTCATTGCTATTGCCTTCTTTTCTATGACAATGGTATTGTTTCACTCATCGTCAATAACCTCGTCGCATCAACAATTCCATCTCAATTGTCATGATACACTAATCTTTATTCCTACACAAAGATGTATGTAGTGGTTATTCTCTGTCTGACGAAATTGTACATGTACATTTATTAATTATCAGCCTTCGTTGTTTTCTGAAGAGAAGTGAACTTAGCGTTTGTTTTCAATCAGTCGGCATACCCTGTGTCTATCTACTTATATCAAATCGATTGCTTCTATATGTCATTATACTACCAGAACGCGAATATTGGAAGCGTTCAGTTGATTGTTGCATTTCTGTACGCATTCATCATATAAACGTGTTTATTTTGTGTTTTTATGCTTTCAAATGAGTTTTCCCTGCATTATGGACGTTATTCATCCTTTCACGTGTGGCAATGTATTTGTGTGAAGACGAGTCAATATTTGTGATCAATAATATATGTATTTTTTTCCAGTTCTCAACATAACGTTAGCTTGATGAAGATTAAGTGTGAGATGGATTCTTCTTCGATTGTTATTGTTGCCGTAATGATGGTAGTGAAGACGAGAAAACTGCTAAGTATACCAACAACCAAACAAAATCTACTAGTGTTATCCCATGGCTCATATTACAGACTACTGGCCATACCCAGATAGCCAATGAAACACCAGGGAGCATTAGACTGCTGTTTTATCGTAATACAAGGCACCTCGGCTTCACTTGTCCATGACGCAACCAGCAGTTGAGTCATGTCTCCTACAGACCTTACAGTATTCATTCTGTCTTATGGACGAAAAATAACCTAAACCAAATGGAAGTTAGTTGTATTTAGATAGATCGCATAGAGCGGTAATCATGGTCAAAGTCAGTGAAAGTCTATTTAAAGGAATCTGAAGATCTTTTCGTGACGATCGATCACGCAAAAAGGGCCTTCGTAAGGTTATTGCAAAGGTTTGCGTACTGCATCTACTCGTATGAAAACATGTGAACAGGTAGATAACTCTCGAGGAAGAGCGACCTGTTGATGTTGCATTCGAGTTGACACCGGAGACAGCGTTCGCATAAATGCAGACAGTCGATGGACGTAGTCTGATTTGCCGAAATTAGGTCTGCTCCGTGGTGTGAATTCTCCGGGTAGACGCAATGTCGTGCCGTATACAAGTTCAGCGGCGGAACACTGAATATCTGCCTTCAAGCTCGTTCAAATACCTAAGAGAACGAGCGGTAAGGTTTCTTGCCAGTTGTCGTTTTCGTGTGCTCGTAGAGCACTTTTAAGTTGACGGTGAAACCTTTCAACTAAACCGTTTGAAGCTGGATGGTAGGCGGTAGTGCGTATGCGTTCCATACCAAGCAGCCGAGTAAGTGAGGAGAATAATGCGGACTCAAATTGTTGTCCTCAGTCAGTCGTGACAGCCGAGAGACAACCGTATAGAGCTGTCCATCGTTCTACGAAGCGGTGAGCAGCTGTCTCCGCCGTGATAGACGTGATGGGTATAGCTTCGGGCTATTTGGTGAGGTGATCGATGCACGTGAGTATGTGATCATACCCGTGCGGTGGTGGCAGTGGTCCTACAATATCTAAGTGAGCGTGATCGAAGCGAGCATCAGGCGTAGCGAATGTATCAAGGGGGGCGGCTACGTGCCTGTGCACTTTTGATCGTTGACATTGTAAGCATTGCTTCGCCCACATACGAACATCTTTATTCATGGATGGCCAGACGTATCGTGCAGCGATGAGACGTAATGTAGCTGCGACACCTGGGTGAGATAATCCATGCAGGGCATTGAATAGGAGGCGGCGATAAGCAGAGGGTACGATGGGTCGAGAAAGACCGGTAGAAGTGTCGCATAGGATGGTGCTCGAAGCCGTGGCTAGAGGTACTTCATGATACTGAACGGATGTAGGGTGTGGTGCTTTTGCACAACTGGGATCGTTTGCTTGGGCAACGGCCATAGCAGGAAGATCGAGCATTGGCAGAGTAACTGCATTTGTTTGGATTCGTGAAAGAGCATCGCCAACACTGTTTGACTTGCCTTTGATGTGACGAAGGTCTGTCGTGAACTGGGAGATATAGTCCAAATGTCTGCACTCTCGTGGTGAGTAGCGGCCAGACTTGGTATGCAAAGCATACGCTAAGGGCTTATGGTCGGTGAATAAGATGAATTGACGTCCTTCTACTGCGTGCCGGAAATGTTTGAT